CAGCCATACATGACCAACCATCAAATATTTTTGTAAAAAGCAAAACAAAAGCAAATGAAAATCAAAAGCAGCGCAATTTGCTTTGTGTTTGCATTTGTTTTGCTTTTTTTTTTCTGGTACCACTTCTGCACTTATGAGAACTTTTACCCGTCAGCAATATTTGCTGTACCCTCCTAGGAAAAAAAGCGAAAAAACAGCGAAACAAATGCAGAAATAAAGCGAACACACTGCGAAAAAAAAAAGTGAAAAAACAAGCGACAAATACGCACGGCTACATTTTTTTGCTTTGTTTGCTTTACCTTTTGCAATTTTTTGGTTTGCTTTGTCTTTGCTTTATAAAGTTATTTTGGTTCCTTGTATCTATGGCTGGCGTGCCCGACATAAATTCAGCGGTTTTGTACAACACGACAGAACATAATTAATGGTAAAGTTTCAGTCCTAACCTTCTTTGGTTTTTACAAAACTTGTTTTTTGATTGCTGCTTTTGTTTTGTTTGTTTGGATGTATGAAGCACAAACACAAGGAAGATACACTCGAGGCAAGGCAACAAATAAAAATGCCTTTCATATCCTGGACGGGAAGAGCAAAATTTTAAAGACATTACCTAGACTTCACGGATTGTTTCTGTCTTCTTGTTATTGTTTTCCCGGCCATCACGTCTCTACTTTCGATGTGTCATCCTGTTTTTGGGTGGGGGGTGGGGTGTTGTTAACAATCGACTCACGATGATCTTATCCATGACTGCTCTCTTGGTATATAGATGTTGCGTGTCAAGGAGTCTGGAACCATCGTTTAAGGTTGACATTGGTTATGTTGACTCTTTGTTTGCCTGTAGTGGGGACTACGTGGAACAAAACACGTTGCATGTTGCGTTGCAACAGGACAGGTGGCCAGTTCCTTTCGATGTCTTGGGACAGCCTTGAGTTCAAAAAGAACACGATAAACATGATGTTGGCATATGTTAGCAACGAAACCACAGCGAGAACACATTTCCCTCCAAACGTGGCCCGCAAATCCTTTCCCTGAAACAAGAAAATGACAGCGACACTGCGGCAAAACCATCATTTCGTCGAATGCCACTGTGAATTCCACCTCAAGCCTGCAACAATGGCACCACGTCAAAATGCAGCTTGAAACGCGGGTTTCGTGAACCACGCAACAAGGACTGCTACTCCTAAATTACTAAAAACATACGCCTACACGTTCGGGAATTTTTCTGTGTGGATTCCCCTGTCACATTCCTAGCTATTGATATCCTTGAAAATATACCTATGTCGATTCCTAGTGGTTCCCTTTTCAAGCCTTTCGAACTCTAATTCAAGCGATTGCCTTTTACACGCTTTTGATTCTAATTGATTTCCCTCTAAATTGTTTTGATTCCTCTTGATGCCCTTTCCAAATCCAAATGTTTAAGCATGTTTTTAAATTCCCTTCTTATCTTGCTTCCCAAAATATTGCAAACATCTATTCCACGAAGGGGTTAATTAGTTAGCCCAGTGCACTAGAAATCTTAAACAACAAACCTTTTGCATTAATGCCTGCCCCTTCCGTTTTGATAAAAGACTCCCTGGATTGACGTCCACGCCTTTCCATATTTTAATGATAATACTACCCCATCCAACATTGTCCGCATCTTGCTCTGGGGTGAGTTTTTAAAAGCAAGACCCCCGGCAATGGTGTCTACGCTTTTCATTCTTCATTAAAACGTTTATTTATGATTTCCTTTTTTGACAATTCCCTGTGGTTGTTATTGGTTGCCTATTGAACTTTTTTTTTTGCTGACTTCCATTGAAATCCTTTTGACTTGATTATACCTGTTGAACTGTTAGGCAATTTCTGTTGGAACCCCTTCTTCAATCCCACCAAAGAATTGCAGCTGACAAGCAGGAAACCGTACATCACGGGGGGTGAGCATATATGTGCAGTACATGAAAGAACATATACATATAAATATACTGGGTGCAAATCACTTGGGAGTTAAGGCGTCAAGTGACATAAGGAATAGAGTAGGTAAGTCCTATGTCATGTCAAAAACGTGTCGGCACCTAACCGGCGACTATAGGTAGAGCAGGATGAGATAGGACTTGTGACACACATGCAGCCCACGCACACCTCCCAGCAGCTCTGCAACCTGGGGGGAGGGCCGGCTTCCACAACAATCCCAAGTCACTCGTTTAAAGAGCAGCAAATTGGGTTGCATGGGCAATCTGGTGATGCCTTGCGTTATCTTGTTTTTGGCTCTTTTGCCTGATGACATGGGATTCATCAAAAGGGGGATAAGGCAAATGACTTGGGATTGTGTGAGTTCCCATGTGTGCTTTCTAAATGCCATGTCATCCGAAGAAATATAAATGTATATATAATGGGTTCCATAGTGAAAATGCTACCTCCAACCGTGGGTTACTGTTAGCATATTGTCTTGACAGCTGCGTAATGACCATACTCTGCTGACATGACACCCCCCGGGGGGCGGGGGAGCACGGGGGGCGGGTGCCAACAGGAACAAAGGTTTCAAGAAGAAAACAAAAAAAGTATTAATTAACAATCTTAAACTTTCAAAAATGTCCTTCATTTTAATCTTTTTCACAAATGTCTTTAAAACCCTTTAAACATCAAGGACAAACAGGAAATGAAGGAGTTAGACCCGTAAACGGGAGTTAGACCCGCGAGGAGGAGAAAACGTGTGCAAAATAGATCAGCTATTTAAGTTCTAATTGTTATATACTTGGCTGGTCATATTCCTTCATTTCATTTCGTTGTTTGATGTTTGAAGGAAATTCGTGAAACATGTTCAACATATGAAAGTCAACAACTTTTGGATAGTTTTCCTGGTCTAATTCATTCATTTCCTGTCTTTCCTTGATGTCTGAAGAGTTTTGAGGACATTTCTTCAAACTCAAGCTTGATTGAAAAATAAAAAATCAATATTGTTAGAAAGTTGTCTAAATCCTTCATTTCCTGTCTTTCATTACCCTGGTTGTGGGGTGTAGTCTTGACAGCTGAAGGCAGCATTGGTTGAGGATCAGTCCGAGAAGGCCGCGGCCCCAACCCAATGCCACTGTCTTCCAAAAGCTCGATTGTCTTGACACTTTGGGTATCTCTGCTTACTTTTTCCAGGTTCCAGCCATAGTCTTGACATCTACACCTTTTTGAACAGGGCTTTCACTCGCTGTCTTGCCACCCACAGAGGTATTTTGATCCTTGCCCTCCCCCCACTGTCTTGTCATGAATCTTTAACCCCCCCGATTTGGGGGGGGCAAGGTCAATGGAACCCGCGGTGCGCAATCACAATGCGCCAAATATTACTGCCAAGCATGGTCGCAGGCAAGGCTACGGGTTATGCAATATCATTTCATGGCTGACCAAATCCCGTGGTAAGCCTTCATAGATTCATATAAGGCTTTGATCATTTCGGCAAGTCCCGGAGAGCATAGCAGAGAAGTATCAACCCATACTGAAACTTGCCGGTTGCAAGTGACAACCAATTTTGTAGACCTCCTCCAACTTCAATTGTCATGATCATACGGTGCCGAGGCTCTAAGCTTAGTGCTTGTGTTTGTCTCCCTGCCTCATAGTTTCACAGCGTCAAAGCCCCCAACTGGTTCGTTGACAGGTCTGACTCGACTGACATTTTTCCCGTGGGCACCTAACAGCTCAAAGAAGGAAAAATGGATACGAGAATAAATGTCAATCCGTGGGGAATTACAGGGCTTGCCTATCACCGAGTGAAACCTATGAAGACTCCACACAGAAAATAAGCCTGCGATCGCCATAAACATCAGATTCACCAGCACGGGTGGGAGCAGTACCAAGAGCAGTACCACGAGAGGCCCGAAGGCCTGTGGGACATAATCTCATAAAAACTACATGCGGGTGGCGAATGGTCATTGACGATTCAATGCGGCCTGCTTAATTCAGAAGTTGCTGATCTAAAATATCGAAGGCCGTATTGGGACCAAAAGGTAAGCGTGTGGCATCCCTATATGTTTCGACAACCCAATCAGCTCTAGGCCTACCTGGTCTACGATAAGCGTTTTTTAATGGTCATACCATCCGCTTCTTAAAGAATGACGTGCACCATCGGGTCCGAAAATGGCAAGTGGAGAATGTGCCCAAGTAAACGACGCGGTATTTTACGCCAAATCTCTCCAGACGATTCAAACGAGCAGCCGTGCTGCTGTTGGATGCAGGCGTACATTTGGGCATTTGTTTGGTCTCTGTCAATAAACGTTGGAGGGAGCCCTTTAAATCCTTTTCAGGCGTTTGTTTTGAAAAGCATTTTGCCGCGAAATATCAGCCCAGGTTAGTTGAATGCATTCAAGACCATATAAGAGTTTAGATCTGACAATGGCGTTGAACACCTACATTGTCCATTTTTATAATATCATTTGGCGCTGGCTGGTTTTTGTCTTTTGTCGAGAAACGTTTAAGCCGATTGCATGTGGCAATACAATCGCTTGGCGCCTTATTATATGATAGTATAGTGTCATAGTATCATATTATAGAGGGTTGTGATCATCCCAACTCAAACGTCTACGAGAGTCGAGGCTTGATGGATGCTGATAGGCAAGCGGCAAGCAGGAGCAACTGCTAAGCTGAATACACCTGAATACACTGGCATAGACCCCACGTAGCATATTGAATAAGAAAACCCACGAGCTACACTTGCGTGGCCGCTCAGTCTCTGTTACTGTTACAACCACCATCCTGTACAACATATGCAAAGCCCAATAGGTCTAGGCTAGGCAAGCAATGTGATGCGATGGGACGGGTCCGATCACTGCTTTTCTGCGGGGTCACAGGGCTCCCGAAGAGTTGCAATCAAAGCAGAGGGAAGTAAGGACCCCCGTAATGAGCTTCCAAGTCTATGGAGGAAAAGCATGGAAGAACCATTTGCATCCTCAGCATCTAGACACATCTAGATGATGAAGATCTATCCATGTAGCGTTGCAAAGTCGCATAGCCGCATAGTTTTGTATCGCTTCGCAGGGCGGCAAGTCCTGTTTGCTCTTTTGGCCTCGCAACGGCTTCTTCTCCTTCTCCGCCTTATACACTTCACATTGATGCGCAAACATTCCCACGTTTTGCCTGACAGCACATACAGGTGTAGGAAACCTTGCCAATCGAGGCCTGCGCCCGTCCCGGTGCCATATGAGCCATTGCGACATTGCTTGGAAGTTTTGGGAAGCCCTTGCAAATGATTGAAATGGGTATCAGCGGCATCAGGATGCACCGGCTATAGCCGCAGCCTCTTTGCATGTTTTGTGGTTGGCCCGCTTGCACTATGCAAAGGGTTTGGGCAGAAAAGGGCCCGTAGACACCTGCACCATGGGCCTTGGAGAGGCCACTATCACGACTGTCTGCTAGATTGTAAGAACCGTTACGCTATTGCCAGCCACCTGTCCAAGAGCTTTCTCCCTCTGGCTGTTGGTACGACTACTTCGGGTCAGGTTGCTAATTGGCGAAGCCTTCTCATTTATCATTGAAGCGGTTGCTTAATGTCTGAGGAAAACGTACAGTAATAGCAAATGACGGGCGAGTACCACAAATATGACTCCCTGGGTTCATCAAGCTCATCGTGCACTCTGCAGCAGTGACCAGAATATATCCGCCGACCCCTGCCTAGCTGACGCCTAGGCGGGGCGGCGCCTGGGACACCGCAGGGTGAAACGGTGGCTCAACTTGCTTTCGGCCAGTTGCTGCAGGACTTGTCTGTGGCCAGGGATGCCACGTACGGTGCTAGCAGCCGAGGCCTGCTGGGCTGCCACGTACGGTGCTAGCAGCCGAGGCCTGCCTCTTCTTTTCTAAGCCTCCGAAAGCAACGGCCCCCTCAAATGCTTCTCAGCAGCCTCGCTGTGGCCAAGGTGTCGTTTCTGGGTGGCACCCGGGCTGGCCTGCCACGTACGGTGCTAGCAGCCGAGGCCTGCCTCTTCTTTTCTAGGCCTCCGAAGGCAACGGCCCCCCTCAAATGCTTCTCAGCAGCCTCGCTGTGGCCAAGGTGTCGTTTCTGGGTGGTTCCCGGGCCAACGTGCCACCGCGCCAACGCCAGACCACGCCCACAGACCAGCGACCGTTCGTAAGAAGCAGTGATGTCAGCACCTGGGCTGCATCACCGCAAGCCTCACCTGGTCAGCACTGAGCTGCCAGGCAAGGCCCTCGCAAACGGTCGCCGGTCCGCGCGCATTGTCCTTTGTTGGCCACATGGCCACTGGAATCTCGGCAACAAAGGACCACGCCCACAGACCAGCGACCGTTCGTAAGAAGGAGTGATGTCAGCATGCATCACCGCCAGCCTCACCTGGTCAGCTCTGAGCTGCCCGGCAAGGCCCTCACAAACGGTCGCCGATCCGCGTGCGTTGTCCTTTGTTGCCCAGATGGCCATTGGAATCCCCGAAGTCCAAAGTCATCGAGTCATGTCAAAACCACTGCCCCTAAGTTACATTGCTGGCAATCAGATCTAAATTGCTGACATTTGGATCTGGCAAAAAAGCTCCGCTACCATGATCAATTGATCTTGCCAACAGATCATCCTGATCTTGCTAAGGGACTTGACTTGAGCTCATGTAATGTACAGCAGGTGCATGCTGCTGAAATTCTGCACTTATATAAATTCAGTACATGAAAATGGAAGGCCAGAGATATGGAATTTGTGATTTCTAAATCGTTCTAAATTGAATACAAGATCATTTAACACTAGGTCACAACCTACACACACACTCGGACAAGGTGCGCGGATGTGACATATGTGTGCACTTTTTGGGGTTTTGGAGTTATGTGTGTCCTTTCAGTCCTACGCCACCTGCAGGGCTTGTACAGGAAACCAGGCAATTAGGTGCTGAGTCTTCGTGGCCTATGTCACCATCAACTAATGCCAGGGTCTGAGTGGACGGTGTGTGTTTACCGACAAGAGATGCCAGAATCACAAGAATCCAATTTGCCTATTATTTGTTGGATCTTTCTGGCCAACACTCGATTGGAAACCTTCAGGTCCATGTGGGATTGCGTGATGCAATTTAGAGGACTGGATTTGTGTGACAGCTTGGGGAAATGATGAACAAACAATTTGTCTCTAGATGTCTCCAGATATTTTATCACAAAATCCTCTCCCCTTCTGCATCACATTCCCCCCTGCATACCGGGTTCCAACCCCTCTGTACACAGGACACGTCCGTGCAGCCGAGTCTTGGTGGATGAGGCTCGGCGACTCATCAGAGAACTTCATGTTCATGTCATTGCCTCACAAGTTGGCTCCAAGGTTGTGAGACTCAATTTCTCGAATCAAACATGTACAAAAATGTATTCATTTTCATCTATGAGTCTTGACTGGCCAGGCGTGGAACAATAGCCCTGGCCTGCCAAGTCTGGGACTCTCAGAATTTCGAGATGAGAGCAAGTGCGAGTTGCTCGAGTTCATGTTGAACAGATTTGGCACCCACTTTGGAACCCAGATTTGATAAATATATACATACATATTATGTAGATTATTCTGGACACGTGCAGAGAATAATAGTGAGTATATATTCGGTTGCCAGTGGCCACCTGAGTGACACACTTCCCTGTTTGTTGAGTATCCCTCAAGCTGCGCTAGAGCCCTTTCCTGTTCAAAACCATTGCAAAAATGGTTGATTTAGCGAAGTTGTTGAATCAGGGTCGAAAGAAGACCACTGCCAGAAAGACCATAGAGAAACCCAAGCGGAAGCTGGCTAAAAGGCCACCTGCCCGCAAGCCCTGCTGCCAGCAGAAACCTTCGACGGCGGCCAAGCCTGGCCAAGTAGATGTACTGGATGTCGAAGCAAATGATTTCCTGCTGAGTGCGCTCCTTGTCTGTGAACAAGAGGAGTGTTAAAGACTTGGTTTATGATGTGGGGTTGAGCACTTCTTCCAAAAGATGTGGCGTGGGAAATAAGACCCTGTGTTGAGCTTGCGCTTGACGTCTTGTGTCACAGATTCCCTTCCACACACACACGGCATGAAACTTCTCATATGACATGAAAACATGTTCTCACAGTAGCCCCCAACTTCCACACTGCCGGAATTGAATCAGGAAGGCCTATCCAGTGCCGTCCACTGCGGCCGAGATGAAGAGCCTTCGCTGCAGCGGGGAAGCCGTCCTGATACTAGCAAAGGGCTTTCCAAACAATTTTTTGGAACCTTTAATGATGCTTTAAACTAATCTCAGGATGTGGGCTGTGGAACTTTTGCAACGCTGCGCCCTTCTTTTTGGAGAGGACTTTGTCCGTGAGAAGTTGGGAGATTTGCTTGCAATAATCTACTACATGGTCTATCGTCCAACTAGTGACTGGAGTAGACTGGAGCAAGGGAACCCAATCATTGGACAGTAGCTTAGCCCAGGAAGTGCGGACTGGGAGTGCGTCGACCTGTTTGGTGGATGTCTGTGCATGCGGCGAGCATGGGAGCAGATTGTCGCTGCTGCCAACCATCTATGGGATGATGTGGATACAAAGTTGACATTTGGGTTCAATGTTGCTTGAAAAATATAAACTACACCTTGGGAGACCAGTGGAATTTCTTAGCCCTGCGTTCTGCTCCCACAAGGTTGAGATCAACAAAGCCTGCATCAAACTCAGCTGTGCGCATTACCCTGAGAGCTGTGTCTTTCCAGATATCTTGCAGATGGTTACTCATCCAAACACTAGCAACTGGACACCATCCAAAGTGAAGATCAAGACGTTTTCCTTTTGCGCATTGCACAAACAACCGTGCCTCAGCATCTTTGGATTAGTAAGATTCATGTTTTTTACTGACTGTGACTGTGCAAACAAGAGTTTTTGACGTCCACCATGCGCAGCCGCCACGCCTCCTCATCCATGAATCAAACCAGGTGCCCAATCAACCTGACAAAGGAGAAGGTGCCATTGCTGGGAGCCCCTTGCGTGCTCTTTTTTCCAGGCTATGTTCCTTCATACTTAACGAATGCGAGCTTCATGCGTAAAAGATCACATGGTTGCAGTGTTGGTTTGTGTATGTGTTCAAGTAAACAATGCACAACTCTCCTGTGCAGGTTTGGAAAAAAGGAAGGATTCTCGAACAAGATCAAGAAGCAGGTTCATGATGCCGCGACCAAGTTCCAGATGTCGACATCGTTGAGCTTCCATGAGAATGTGGAGGGCTATGACGAGGCCCCCAGTTCCCTGTCCCTCTTTCTAGACTGCTTCTTCATCCTAAGTCACCACCCACGGCCTTGACCCGTTCCATGAAAAAGACCCTGTGCAGACCTACTTGGACAAGCACTTGCCGTGTCACAAAAGAGAGGAAGTTGTGTGTGGATGCCCAGTGGAACATTTTTTGATTTGATCCAAGCTGAGCCAATCTGAGCCTTTAGAACTGTGGCTAGGGAATACCCAAAACCAAATCTGCTCCGTGACGCTGGCTGAGGCTGGATCCCCGGATGTTTGGGTGCCCCAACCGTCGGGCACGGTGTTGGCGCATCTGCTTCCACCCTGATCACAAGCAATGGTCTTGCAAGTACTCTTTGCAAGATCTTGCTGCAAAGCTCTTGGCGCCTATCACTGTTCCACTTTCTTTGGATTTCTCTTGCTACTGGCAACTATCCCCTATGGAAGCTGATGGTTATGGTGTTTTCCGAAAAGATCTCAGTGAGTGCCGGGTTTGCATTCTAGTATATTCTAGTGGTATGTGTATTCTAGTGGTATGATATGTACATCTCAAACAAAACATTTCAAAACAGACTCCTTTCAACCCCTTTGACACTTGAGGTGCCAGATGAAGCACCTGAAAGAGTTCCAGAAGGTGGTCCCAAACAAGCACATGTTCGACCTGAGCCAGGATGTGCACAAACGTAGACGAACAGAGAACATCGACAAGACGCTACCATGCTTAACCACAAGCGCGCAGTTGTGGCCACATGACTTCTACTTCAACACATGTTCCTTTTGTGTGTCAAAAAGGAATCTTTTTGAAAAGCACTTGTTTCACACGATGGATCTGTTTCGTGAGGTCGCAGAAGAACAAGCGTTTATTGACCGGCCGTGAGCAGCTGCAAGTATTGGGCTTCCCAGCTCTTAGCGGCTTTGGAGTTGCTTCCTGGCAAAAACACGATCAACTTTCACCCAGAGCTGAGAGAACTATATAAGTAATCACCACTCCAAAGACCTGTGTGTAAGTGGCTTGAAGTTGAACTTGGTTGAGCTTCAGTTCCACCTGACCTCAAAAAAAGAT